CATTTTTCGTAAATAATGCTTAAACATTTTCAATGTACTTAAAATGTTTTTGTAAGTATATATTTTTTATTTAAAAAAAATGTGTAAATCGGACATTTTTTGTAGAGAAGTCTAATCTGTATTTATGTCTTAATTAATATACCTATATTTTAGTATGCAAATAGGTATTAAGTAGTTTTATAATTAAGTAAGAGGTAGTTTTTCAAGGGATTGTTGCCCATTTGTATTTCCTTGCATGGGCTGGCACCGACTCCAAAAATAAGTAATAAATTTTGAATATTTGCAAAATATTAATGTCAAATAAGTTTACCTATAAATTAAGTTTTTTTACAGTAATTCAAATTGTTATTTTCTACTTTTTAGTGTAGGAACTTTTATTGCTTGACTTTTTTTGAAGGCGGTTTTTTTATTTTGTAAAATTTTTTTTTATTTGTAGCCGTTTAGTGTTTTTTTTATTATAATGTGTTATGGCAAAGAAGTCAATATCGTTCCTACATTTCTTTTGAAAAAGTTACCAATGTCATACTTATACGTAGAAATACATATCATAGTACATTGTTACTGTGTAATCGTTTTGATCTCGAGGAGAGATGATATGATGCATGAGATACTTATGACTTATAGTTAAAATAAAATAATAATCTTATCATAAATCCAGCCTGTTCCTGCCGCAAAAGTGGTTGAGCCACTTTTGCGGCAGGAACAGGCTGGATTCCGCCCCAACCGCTCATGTACGGACCAAATAAATACGCTTCGGATCATACTCGAAGAGTCCACCGAGTGGCAACGTGACATCTATATTACGTTTGTCGACTTTAAACAAGCGTTCGACACACTGCATTGGTCCAGTATTTGGCACCGACTTGACGAAATCGGAGTCCCACCCAAGATCAGAGACCTGCTCAAAGCCATGTACAAAAAGTACTCCTGCAGGGTTGCTCATGATGGTCTAATTTCCGAAGATATATCGGTTCAAGCGGGAGTCAAGCAAGGCTGTCTTCTCTCGCCTCTGCTTTTTCTTCTCGTCCTGGATGGTGTAATGCAGAAAGTAAACGACGGCAAGAGACGCGGTATAGAATGGGGGTTGTACAATCAGCTGGATGACCTAGACTATGCTGATGATCTGTGTCTGCTTAGCCATAAACATGCTGATATGCAAGCCAAACTGGACGACCTTCGGCTAGAGGCGGCAAAGGTTGGCCTTAAAATCAACTCAAGGAAGACCCACGAGATGCGCACCGGGAAAAACCAACAGTCCCTCACTCTTGATATGGAGCCAATCCAGTGTGTACAACAGTTTGCTTACCTGGGAAGCATTGTGTCGAAGGAGGGAGGAGCGGAAGAGGACTCTGCCGCTAGAGTGACCAAAGCACGGGCGACCTTTGCACAACTTCGACCCATATGGCGATCAAAGAAGCTGACTCGTAGAGTCAAGCTTAAAATCTTCCGATCTAACGTCAAGTCCGTCTTACTCTATGGGTGCGAAACGTGGAAGGTAACAAAGGATATCACTCACTTAATCCAGGTCTTCGTCAACCGCTGCCTTCGGCAGATACTTGGCATTTTCTGGCCAGAGAAGATCTCGAACGAACGCTTGTGGGAGGCGTGCCGGGAAATGCCAATAGACAAGCAAATTACACGCCGAAAGTGGTCATGGATAGGGCACACCCTCAGGAGAGGTCCCACACACATACCAAGACAAGCTCTAGAGTGGACACCACAAGGCAGGCGAAAAGTTGGCCGTCCTAAGCAAACGTGGCGGCGCACAGTGGCGGCGGAAATAAGGAGGATAGGACTGTCCTGGTCCGAAATTAAGCACATAGCCCAAGATAGGTCCAAATGGAAAAATACTGTGGAAGCCCTCTGCCCCACCTAGGGGATATAGGAACTTAATATATATATATATCATAAATTCATATAAGTTCTCGCCAAATAACAAAAAACTAGATATTTTCATCAACAGACAGATAAAGTTCAAAGATACCAAATGCAATCTAATTTAGTATCTATGATTAAATACATTCGTACATAGAAAAAAGACCGATGCAATTATTGTTTTGTATCAATTGTAACCCATTAAATGAAGAATACTTTTTTTTTTTATGTAATAGCTCGGCAAACGAGCAGACGGATTACCTGATGGTAAGCAATCAGCGCCGCCCATGGACACTCGCAACGGAGGAGTTACCAGTGCGTTGCCGACCTTTTAGGGATAAGGATTTGGAGATTTAGGGATTGAGGTGGGATTGGGAAAGGAGAAGGATTGGGCCTCCGGTAACCTCACTCACACGGCGAAACACAACGCAGAGGTTATTTCACGCCGGTTTTCTGTGAGGCCGTGGTATCACTCCGGTCGAGCCGACCCATTCGTGCCGAAGCATGGCTCTCCCACACTTAATACCTCTCCCACACTTAATAACTATTTTGTTATTACTAAGAACATTCATATATAGACAAGTTGGTAAAAATACAAAAGACCATCGCTATTGTAAATATACATTTATGACTCATTCAATGTATGAACCTTTTTTAAGTAAGTATTATCTACATATGTGCACACAAAAGAAATACAATTATTGTTTTGTACGACGCAATTATTGTTTTGTAACCCATTTAAAACGACTGTTTTGTTAAAAATGCCAATGAATTCTCTTAGCCTATTTCCAGGAAAACGATAAGAACACAATGACGCATTTCACCACTAATGTGTAAACGCAGTCCACGTGGACTAATGCAAAATAGCCAATACTAGGCCAAACTCCGCCCCCAAAGGTGTGCGGTCCCGCTCTAGAACCTTTCGGCCCCATCGGCCATCTGTTCTACGAGCAATGTCCCGTGCCCACTGTCACTTAAGTTTGGCATTTCTTCGGGCTATGTCGGTGACGCTGGTTCTTCTGCGGATTTCTTCATTTCTGATTCGAACATGCACGGAAACTATGAGCATAGCCCTTTCCATTGCTCTTGACAGCTCTAATAAGCTTACACAATACTAGGCCCCATGCCAACCTTCCAGCTTCATCATCACATCAGTTCAATAGTACCTTACAGCCAAAGTGCATCTTATAACAATTCTAACAAGCCCAAACACGGCTAGGATATATTAATTAGGTACGCAGTTCCAGTGCCTACCTTCCAGCTCCATAATCATCATTAAATCAGTTCGATGATAACATTTCCAACATAATTATTTAAGATCATTGGTTTACAGTGCATTTTCATAGTTGCTGAACTACCTTGATTGTGATATCTATGCGAGTGTCAAGTTTCATCACCCATTTCTGATCTTCTTCACCAGTTCCACCTCATCAAATATTACTTTTTGACTGTAAATGCTTGAGTGCTCTATGAAAATATTAAAATTACTATATAGTTGCCTATAATATTTGAGGAGTTCCCTCGATTTCTCATGGATCCCGTCATCAAAACTCGATTTTGAAAAGAATGGGACCAATCTGGAAGCATATCCTTTCAATCATAAAAAAAATTTTGCAAATCCGTCCATAAACGACGGAGTTCTGAGGTAACAAACATAAAAAAAAAAAAATAAAAAAAAAAAATAAAAAAAAAATACAATCGAATTGAGAACCTCCTCCTTTTTTTGAAGTCGGTTAAAAATGTTGCTAATTAGCCACATTTTTTCATATTTGTCTTTTTTTCACTCGCGATTATTGCATCATGCCATCTCACTTTAACGTGTATCATACGCTCTATTCTTGTGTGCATTAGTGTGCCGTTTTTGAAAATCGAATTTTGTTTATGTAACCAATCTGCTACACCTTTTTACTCATTGAGTTTTCCATAAAGTGGATAGAAAGATGTGGAAACTTTGATTGTACATTACAATGAGGACTGAATCTTGGCGATCGTTTACTATTTTTGCCTGTTTTATTTTACTGTGTCTGGCGGTAAGATAAAATTAAGCCATAGAATAATTAAGCTATCAGATTAATTATCCAGATCGTAACTCACTACTGAATGTCAAATAACTTCAAAATGAATGAACTAACTAATTATCTTATCATTGAGCAAATACTTGATGGAATCAAACTTTAAATAAATAACTAAAGAAAGATGGCAGTCATTGAGATAGCAGACAGTAAATATACCGAGAGCGTTATATTTTTGATCTTTTTAATTGTACAGGAAATAAGACAATAAATCCTCAACAGTAGCACAGAGAGTCTAGATTAATTGCCAGTTTCTATTAATTAGTTTATGGTATGGAGTAATCAAGCTACGGACACCGCGACCGCCAAGGTAAAATAAACCTTATGACTTACATTTGAGAATTATTTATTGACTAGCGAACGGGAAAAGCCCTAGCTGAAGCTAGAATAGGTAATGCGATTGTTTTTGTTCCAGCCAACCAAACTTTATGAAAATTAGTTTTGAATTTAAATTTAAATTTGGAATCCGCAATTGCGGTCCATGTTTTCTGGTAAACGCGTCCTGGATTTACATTGGGACTAATAACTGTTGGAAAGTGTACCTTATGCTAATAAAAACAAGCGCGAAATTATCATAAGTATATACACATGCACATATTGTGATATAATCGTGAATTTTTTTAAGTCCTTGGTATGCAATTAGGCAGATACACATCTATTAGGCTGGTGACGCAATCAGAGTACAATGACACTTAGTTACGTGATAATAAAGTAGGTATTTCATTGCCTATCTATAGACAAAATCTGTATTACTTAATGCGACATTCTTTCCAATTAAAGTACATGTCATTGTGCATAATAATAAATATATTTTATTATGCACAACGTGTACGAAACGCAAAAAATATTCTGATAACTTTTAGGCTATTAATTTTCTTTTAATTAATAATTAGAATGTCAAGGATTTTAGATCTGCAAAACTGTTTGACAAGATGTCTTCAATTTTCGCTCAAATAAATACAACCGACCGTAGTATGTAGCTTACTCATGACATGATCCACTACATGACTGGAAGAATTTACACAGGGTAAAATGGTCCTTATTTCCTTACAGATGAAGGTGAACTTCCTGAGTTTCCATTGTTCCTCGCCGGGCTGATCATGTGCGCAGGCTTCTTCATGATCTACTTAATAGAGGAGTTGGTGCACCTGTACATCAACAGTCGAGAGAATAAGAAAAGGAATAACTCCTTCGCCAAGCCTTTTAAAATGAGGAAGAGTTCGTTGACCTCTGGCAGGTCTATTGAGGCGGCTACTACTGCTGCAGAACTGAGTCAGATCGAGGCTAATGGGAAAAAAGAAGAGCAGAACCACTTGCCACTGCAAGACCATGACTCTGTGGCTGGAGCGCTCAGGGGTCTGCTGATTGTGTTGGCGCTGTCCATCCATGAACTGTTCGAGGGTCTCGCTGTAGGATTAGAGTCTTCTGTAGCAAATGTCTGGTAAGTACAAAACTAAATATTTTCAGTCTTCTGTATTTCCTGATCCACAAAAAAAATTGAAACGCTGTAAATAGTTTTTTTATGCGACAAGTCGGCCAAGGAGCAGACGGATAACCTGATGGCAAGCAATCAGCACCGCCCGTGGACAACCACTACAGAGGGGTTACGAGTGCGTTGCCGACCTTTTGAGAATTTGACGGTTTAGGAATTGGGGGAGGGGAAAGACTAGGCCTTCTGTAACGGTTTTCTGTGAGGCCATGGTATCACTTCGGTCGAGCTAGCCATTCGTGCCGAAGCATGGCTCTCCCAAACTTAATAGTGTAGTTAACTAACTACAATTAGTTAAGGTTCATGTGTGTTTGACCCCTCAGTATTAGAATCAGTTCAAATGTAACGGAAAATGTGCGCTCACTTATTCGTAGCACTAACTAATCATCGGTTAGCTGTAAAAGTTTGAATGTTTTATTATGTATTTTATTTGTTTCTGTCAGTACGCAATCGATGATATGCGACGCATTTGTCGTTAAAGGTAAGAGAAAACTTAAGAGTTTCTTTTATTGACGATTTAAATTAGGCTTTCTTCGGATATTACTAACACCCGGTTTCTGAAAGGCTTGTCAACGCTAAAATTAACTAATCTCCTGTTAAATCTCTTGTCAACTCATCTGATTGGTTGTTGATAATTCAGTCAACCAATCAGATGACTTGACAAGAGATTAAATTGATTTTAACATTGATCGGCCTTTCGGAAACCGGGTGTGAGTCTCTTCATTACCCAAAGGTATTGATAACGGCATATTTAGGAAAAGTATGCTAATCGCATTACCTAAGTCCATCTGATGTACAATTTTGGTTGTGCATAAAGTTTTAAATAAATACGTAGGTAGCCGTAATTGATGTCTCTCTGAAGCTCTTATATGTAGGTAGCTATATGTATAAATATAAATTTCTTATAAACATAAAAATTTGTCAATTATACAATAGTATATCATAAAAAACATAATCAGGCGATTACTCACACACGTGCACGCTAAAGATCCTAAATAATGATAATTCAAATGATTTGTTAATTAAACGTTTATCACCTTTGAGAAACCCATTAAGGTCTGCTGACATTGATAGAAGTATCAGCTCCTTAAGCGATAAAACGCCAGGAAAACCAAATACATATCTACAAAAAAAATCCGGCTTAGAAAGTAAATGTTAAGATTAAGAAGGATATGGACTATGGCTGCTCGAACTACCAGCTGTTGTTAGATTTGCCTATGGAATTCTTTTTGTGTTCTACAAATTGTTATCTAATACTTGCATACTTTTTTATTAAAAAATAAAAACATTAAACGTGTACTAAGACCTGTGTTTGTAGGTGCGTTTAAAAACATAAGCCGCCCAGACTCAAAACAACAATTTGTGGGACACAAGAAGTGATATTCTGTGTAAGAAATTGAGAATCTACATAGTTGCCTAGCCACTGCGCCAACCGCGTAATAAAATTTATTTAAGAAAACAAACAGTGACCCGTAACATAATATTTAAATAAGTAATGAGGCACCGCTTTGTCACAGAATATAAATTACACCAGCAATGCTTACAAAAAAAAAATCTAAAGAAAACCATAAAGAAATATTAAACCTATTTTAAAACGCACCCCATGACACAGAAAAAAATCTTGTAGCGGGCAACCTTATAAAAATATAACTTAGATGGTAGTATAGCCTTTATTGATAAGTATTGAGACAAATTGGCGTCTAGGAAGTTTAGCATTATTAGTCACCGTTGTAAATCGATAGCGGCTTGAAGGCAATCGGTTTCTTCGTGCTGCTTCCAGTCACGTAAATTTTATCTTAAGATTTTGTTGACGACACCTGTCACCAACGATATGCTATCAAATTGAACAGTTTGATTAGACGCATCTTATTTGAACATTAGAATGCTATGGAGACGTTTATCAATACGCAGTCACGTTATGGATTAGGATTAGGTAGGATTCGATCAGCGTTATGATTATTCTAGAAGATCTTGTTGCAGTCTACGACTATGTTCTTAAGTTACAGTCGGGCTGGAGTAGTAGGTACAAATTAGCACTAATCAATTAATGAATCTAATCAAATCGTTTATTTTACAAAGAATATGGGTATAAAATAAGATGTTAAAATTATACATACATAGGAGTTCCAACCAACCCATTCTACCTTACGGCATGAAAAAATATTTTTTTTTTATTACATAGGTACAAACAAACTAATATTATAGGAAGGTAACAAGTTAATCTATACTTCTTTATTAATATTATAAAGAGGCATTTGTAAGTTTGTATATAGGGAATAATCTTTGGAACCTTTGGTCGGATTGCCAAAATTCTTTTACTGATATTTACATAGCTACAAGGTTCCTGAGTGCTATAGGCTATAAAACATATCGCTACGATCAAATGGAGTTTTAGTATTATAATTGTGCAATATAAGGCAATAAGCCATTAATATTGTTTTGAAATTCGTATCGAAATCGCCACGGAGCGATTCTGACTCTGTACTGTTTTTGTGTCCATAGATCAAGAAAAAATATCAAATGACTTCTCTCGTCCAGGGTGAGGCGAGAGGGAATGTCAGAATCTTACTGACTAAACACTCCTTCCGTTACTTCTGTTGCAACTACCTTTTTACTTTGTATACGTAGTTACATGTACCAATTATGACTTTTCTTAATTCATCAAACTCCAAGCGTACGCCGGCCGGCGCTCACGCACGTAGGTATTGTGTCTTGAATTACCACGATTGAAAGGTCAAGATACTATTTTTAATAAAGATAACTTTTAGTTAAGCACAGGAAGGGCTTATAGTAAGTGGTTTATGACTGACAATTAGGATCAATATAATAAAGATAAGAGGGACGTGCCAATAACTCGAGTAGTGCAATCACTTGTCACAAGTGTGTTCTTGAAGTAAACTCGTGCAGAGCGCCGTAGATTAGAGATCAAGTGTCGAGTACTTTTGTTACAACATTGTTAAATATAGTTTGCACAGATATTTCGTATGCAGGTACGAATATAAAGGTTGATCAGTACACGTACAGTAGCCACAGCTATAGCTAAATTATATAGCCGGGGTTGCGGGTTAAGCGCAATGAGTTACCGCGACCTCGGCCCAGAGTCTGACGCTCTCTTTCACCCTGGGCGGGAGAGGTCATTTGATTGTTATGCCCTGACAAAAAAAAATGGTTTATAATGACGCCATATCTTTTGGAAACGTTGGTCGCTAATATTTTGAGAGTTAACCGTCTCTATAGTTGTCGTTCCTGTATACCAAATTCCTATGCACATTGTTCTAACTAGCCCATCGTCGCTATGTTTTCAAGATACTGCTAGGCTAGGCCACTCTCTCTCTATCTATCTCTCTCTCTCTCTATTTTAGGTATAGTGAACACTGCTAGGTTTTAGACTTTCGTCGGAAGACGTTTTTGATATAGATACTTTTTGTTCGTTTCGGCAAATAGGTTGGGTTTTTATGGCCGCTGCATTCCAGCCGACAATTCACTTGATGGTAAGCAATTGACGCCGCCCGCGGTATATGGGAGATACAAGTGCGTTTCCCGCTTTTTCGGAAACAGAGATTAGAAGATTAGGGATGTGGGATTTGGCCTCCGGTAACCGTTTGCTCTCACGGAGACACGATATGCCAAAGAATGGCTCACCCACACTTGATATTGCAGTTAAAATGTTCTTCATCAGAGATTATTGCTACTCGGTTCAAATGCGTTTAATCATACTTACTAGTGCGGTGAATGTAAATGTATACACATAGGTACCTACTCCTTGGAATATTTAAATTGTTGAATAAGGAAAATAGGTAAAACAATAGAAGTAGGTAGATACCTAAACATGCAAATATATTTTTGTTTTTCCTTGAAATTTTCAAAGAGACTGCTTGGTTTTGTTTCACGGTCAGTAGTATGTAGTTTTTATTTAGATAATCCTCTACCTACTATATAGCAACAAGTCGGATTTTCTTTTCTGACGCTATACCTCCAGAATGCATGACCGATTTCCACAGAAAAGCGGAAACTTAAAAAAGTGTAAAATCGACAACCACGCGGGCGACCGCTGGTGTGTGATTAAATATTATTTTAGCAAAGTTGTCGCGGTCGGTGTATCGGTCGTGCAGTTGAATAGATACCTAATGGAAATTGTACCTACATGTGATAGATACATTTTCTTTGCTGTGATTAGATAGGTACTAAAATAAAAATGACAATCAGGATGACAATAAATTTTCAAAGTTTTTATCGCTTATGCTACTCAGCATAAAAATCTGTTAATAAGCCACGTATTATTTGACTCCTTCGGTTAAGCGAAACATTTGATGGGGTTTCCCGAATTTCGAAAGGGAACGGGGAAAATACGGGATGAGCAAATAAAGTAATAGAGCGCAGGGGAGCACTACGGATGGTATTTCCCGCGATGAAGTCAAAGTCAATTTTAAATAGACTACTATAGGCACTTCTAACACTTCTTAGAATATCTAATAAACGTCTTTTTGTGTGTCAGTCTGTCGGTCTCTGTTCTGGGGAAGCTGTTTGCTTGTAAAGCGTAGATTCCTACGGAGAAGAACGAGTCTATGTACTCTTTTACAATCAGTTTCACAATTCATTTCTTTGTTACATCATTTAGGCGCTTCCATTATCTCAGAACAGTGTAACACTAATTCATATAATATATACTAGACATATTATCCGAAAAAGGAAATAACTTCAACGACAATTAACTTAAGACAGTCTCGAGTTGACCAGTCCTAATTGACGGCGCCCGTTAACCTTATACTCTAATCGAGTAGATGCCGTGCAGAAATCGTATTTTATAACTAGGTATTCGTTTACAAATTAGTGTTAGTGTTTAGAAATTTGAAACCTTTGTAAAAACCATTTGTAAAAACGACTGAGTTTCAGCACACTTATTTCTTAAAAATAATTCTTCACTGGCATAAAAGACTACTTCATACGCGACTTTGATCTTTAACATCTTTTTTTAATCCTGATTTGATATCCTGAAATACCTACTGTATTGTATTTACAGATGCTTTTTTAGGGGGGACAATTATTTAATAACTTTTCCCGCCCTGGGTGAGACGAGAAGGAGTCCACACTCCACGTCCACACTGACTCAAAACCACTTCGTTCCTTCTCTTGCTCCTAGCCGCACTGGACTCGCAACCCCGGCTGAACATCAGACCTCTTTTCCCATCAATTCAGATGCACATCATCAGCATATAAGTGCCTACTGCTGAGCAAAGGCCTCTCCTCACGTGGAGAAGATTTGAGCATTAACCAATCATTCACATTCACCAATCCTGCTCAAGGCGGATTCTCGATTTCAAACTTATAATTAGAAATTATAAGTCCAGGTTTCGTTCTGATTTTTTTTCTTCACCGTGTGCCAGTGGTGTCTAAATAATCATAGAAAGTACATATCACTCGGAAAAAGTCACATTGGTACTTGCCAGATTTCGAACCCTCATGCATGAGAAGCGGGCGGCTTAGCCACCTGGCCACCACGGCAATTCAGATGTAGTCAGTCATAATAATTACTGCCTGATAGCTATCATCCCCTTGGCAAATAATCAACGATAATTTTAATGAAATCTGCATTATGTTTATCTGGATATAATAAACAGTGTAATAAGTCTGAATTCTGATATCACAGTACCTCATCATTATGCTATTGATTGATGGCCTAAATTATAATTTGTATAACATTTCTTAAAAATTCTGATAAATATTAGAAAATCGTTTGTTCTTCTATCGGCATAACAACTGGTAAATCCGATTGATTCAGTTGCCTAGCGATAGGTACCAGTGTCAGTAACATCTGATTACAAGATTGTATGAACAGGAAAAGTTATGAAAAATATATGTTTACGAATTTTAATACAGTAAGATCTATAGTACCTAGTATAGATAAACTACCGTTAACGTATAGTTTATACTACCTACGTGTCTATACTAATATTATAAAGAGGTAAAATTTGTATGTTTGTAAGTTTGTATGTAGGGGGTAATCTTTGGAACCGGTGGATTTCCAAAATTCTTCCACTGATAGACAGATACAATGTTCCTGAGAGCTATATGCTATAAAACATCACGCTACGATTGAATGGAGCCGAGCAGCGGGTGAAACCGCGCGAGACGAGCTAGTAGTGTATATTTTTAATGCCTTTGTGAGGGAAAATATCAAATGACTGACTTCCCCCGCCTAGGGTGAGGCGAGAGGGAATATCAGACTCTTACTGACTAAAACTCCCCCGTTCCTGCTCCTGCTCTAGGCCGAGGCCGCGGTGCCTGATTGCGCTTACCCCGCAACCCCGGCTGATAGTGTATATACGGTAGTTTTTCAACAAGACTTTTTACCAATTCAACACTTTTTATGTAATGTCGAAAATGATTCTTTCCTATGTAGTTATTTGCAACATATGACGTCATAATGTTTTTAGAATACAGCAAATCGTCAAATCAATGAATATTTTTAATATATTTTCTTTACCTGGGAAACCACGCAATTATATCATACACAAGTAGGCAATCGACTTTTTTTGGTCATTTGAAAAAAGTTTTTGCCTATTTCCAAACAATGAAACCCAATTAGTACATACAATTTTGGCAGAAATAATTAAAGTAAGTTTCCTGAATGGTATTACCTATATTATAATTATATAGGTATGTAGATAACGGTGTGCCTTTCAATCGCTTGAGTTTTAATCTATTTGTCTTGTTAGTCACTGTATTTCCAAAAGGGTTGATATTTTCCAAATTTTCGCTTCTACTTTTCTATACTAATATTATAAAGAGGTAAAATTTGTATGTTTGTAAGTTTGTATGTAGGGGGTAATCTTTGAACCACTGGTCGGATTGAAGACACTGAATACACTGATAGATGGCTGCAATGTTCCCGAGTGCTATAGGCTATAAAACATCACGCTACAATCAAACGGAGCCGAGCAGCGAGTAAAACCGCGCGGGAGTGGAAAACTTTATGATCATGGCAAATACAACATAAAAAGGCAAAATGGCAAATACAACATTACCTATAGGAATCAGTCAAGCCTTTCAATCTTGATATCATGACCAAGGGAATTTCAGATATATTTATTAAGTACATAATACATTTATTATGTAATAAATATTAAAATTGGAAAGGCGGGTTTGAAACTTGGTAAGTACCGATGTGACTTAGGCCACTGACCTCTGGTGAAGGACCTGAGGAAACCAGGGCGTTTCTTATTATAAGTTTCAATTCGCCAATCGCCTTCGAGCAAGCATGGTGTTTAATGCTTAAACCGTCTCCGTTTGAGAAGAGCTGATAAGCTTATGACGTAGAGAAGTAATAGGTACACAAAACAATCTTGAAGAAATAAAAACCTAGTTAATACTTATATTTATTTTTCTGTCATTGCTTTTTGACTGCAGTTGCAGTAAGTTTAGGTACGTAAACACGTAGGTAATAAATGTAAATACTGTTATCTTATAATGATGAATATGTGGTTACATCGTCCGATAAAGAAAATTAGAGCTTCTTATCGATCATTGAATTAAGCCGTATTGTTGTAAAATATTATTTTTATAAGCATTCGGCTGTTGGGCGGAATTGCATGTTATAAACCTCGCCGATTGTAGATTGTTTTTTTTTATTTATTTATTGAATATATGGGTTTAATACTTATATAAACAGGCGCCTAGTGTCACGTATATTGATAACACTTATATTTGATAGACCACGTATCTACTTAAATAGATTTTCGTATCTATGATTCGATTTGAAATCGATATCTACCGGACATTCAATTGCATTAATAGGGTTAGCAAGTTCGTTACGTCAAGTGTTTTTTTTATCATACAGCGGCGTACTAGCAGGCGGATTACCTGATGTTAAGCATCGGCGCCTCTCATCCATGAGGTGTCTATGGCCACCCGCAACACCAGAGGAGTTGCCTGTGCGTTACCAATTATTTGGGGATACGGGGTTTTGGTGGTTTGGAGTATAGGGAGGGGATTGAGTAACACAAAGCTATTGCATTTAGATAGATAATTAATTAGAAAGGCACTTGCGTCTTGACATATGGACACAAAAATTTTTCAATGAAGTTCTAAATCTGGATACACGAGAATTCTTTTCATTTTTCTTTTTTTATTATTTTATAAAAAGTTGCTCCACGTTAGGATTTTTCCTACAATTATACGTAGGTACACGTAACACCCAGACAAGGAACAACTATTTGTGGATCTAACCAGTGATTCGTTCTAAGCCACCATGACAACTATGGCTGAGTAGTCATTCCTTTTTCAATTTTTAAAAACGTAACTTATTGTAGAGTTGATTGGTAGTTCGTAGGTATCCTGTTGTTAACTAAGTTGCGCAACCAAACCTAGTGCGCCGTACCATCAAGCATCACTGCTTACCATCAGGTGGGATCGCAGTCAAGCACTAGTTTATATCAAGTAAAAAAAAAACTAATTTAAGCGTGGGAGAGCCATGCTCGGCACTAATGGGTCGGCTCTACCGGCGCGAGGTAACACTTACGTTGTGTTTCGTCGTGTGTGTGAAGTTACCGGTCCCAATATCCTTCCCCCCACCCCTTCTTCTTAAATCAAAAATAACCAGCTGACAACGCACTTGTAGTAACTCCTTTGATATAACGAGTTTCAATGGGCATCGTTGATTGTTTACTTATGGAATCCATCTGCTGATTTGTCGACGTATGCCATAAAAAAAACTAGTCTGTAGACACTACTGTCGCGCATCTGATATCCACGACGTCTCTTTTAAATAAGGTTCGAAATTACTTTCTATAACATTGTAATAGATACCTATTTCTTTTTTTTCAGGTACATGTTTGCTGCGGTATCTGCCCACAAGTATATAATTGCGTTCTGCATCGGCGTGGAGTTGCTCGCGTCAGGCACGAAGAAATGGCTGTCAATAGTGTACATCTTCACTTTCTCCTTCATGTCAGCTCTTGGTATTGGAGTCGGGATCCTGCTGGTCGGTGGCGCGGGCGCTGCTGATGCCGGCGTCTATTCCGTCGTGTTACAGGTAAAAATTATAAATTATTTTTCACCCTTGTTTGATTAATTCTTTTTCAAACTGAACACAAGACATTTGCGATTAATATCGTATGAAAATTGGACCAGTAGTTTGTGAGTATGTCGCGGAAAAACGTATCTACTAGGTAAATATAAACGTGACGTGATTTCATGTTCTAAAGCCAGACCGACTTCAGAACCATCTGTCATTTTTTTTATTTACCTACAGTGATGCACGGTAACTATATAGTTAAATGAATTAATAGTTGTTAAATTCAAGATCTACTTAATATTTTTTTACTACCCTTCCTAGCTACCGCCCCACCTAGGGATAAGAGTTTTAATGATTTTCCTTCTCTAGAAAAAGGAGCCTAAGGTAAACGCTTCTTTAAAACGAATGCGCGAGTTACATACCAGTGACATAATTATGATAAAAGAAAACCCCAGGACGTTTATAAGGATTATTCTGATTCGAAATCCGAAATTCGAATTGAAAGCGGTAGATACATTATTAATATTTATTGTCCTTTTCCATGTGATGATCGTAAATGTTTTCCCTTAACTTGATTTCTCAGAAAATGGCAAATTATCGATCCCCAGCTTTGCTTGCGATAGGTATAAGATGATAGATTAAAGACAGGATAATTAATTAAAAAATCAATTATGTCCACACCGAAACAGTACCCAGATACGAAATGTTTGATAATTTTACGCAAATTGCATTCCACGGACGAATTTTTATGTCGATAGGTCCTTTTTATCTAAATACCCATTTACTTGGTTACGAAGGCAAAATTATCAAACAAAAGCTTAACAATTTTTGTTAATTAGTTGACAGACAACGATATTTTTGCGCTAAAACTAATTAAATTGCAATTAGTTACGTCATAGGTAATCATTTAATTATTTTTAGACAATATTAATTATTATGTTATCGGCGGAGACATGTATGTTTTTGTCAAATATCACCGATTGAGTGTTTGATGCGATAGTAAATACATGGAGGAAATCACGCAAGCTTTTGTTTTAATAGTGTTAGGTAAAGTCGAAAGCAATTATCGATCTTAATTAAGAGCGTTTAGGTACATCACAAGGATTTTTATACTTATCTTTAACTAACGGCCCGCCCCCGCTTCGCACGGGTCCAACTATCTCGCTATAAAAGGGTCACTTTTTCCTAATCTTCCCCTCTACTTTTCTAATATATTCTTTGATAAAAACCTTCTCCTGATAATAAGAAATATACCTACAGCAAATAAAGGATTAGCAAAACATTTTGCGATCCATTCTATCTCCTTCCTATCTCCCTAAACTCGTTTTTCTATTATATAGGTAGGTAGATATTCAATTAATTCTGTGGTCGGCAACGGCAGCACGCCGCCCGACCAGGACCAGACCCGAGCGTGCGGCGCATAGCGTTCCGCGCGCGCCTCGTAGGGTTAAGACTTCTATAGATGGGGCCCAAAAGGGCCGATGTTTAGTCGGGGTTGTAAGTTAAGCACAATAAGGTACCACGGCCTCGGCCTGGAGCAGGAGAAAGAATGGGGGTTCTTTTTTAGACAATGATAAATTATATAGATACAATTTTCCGCTCGAGGCTTCACCCGCGTGGTAGGTTCACAAAAAATGCAGCCTATGTGTAAATCCAGGGCATCACTAAATCGGTCCAGCCGTTTTTGAGTTAAAGAATAACAAACATACCCACACTCATACATTTACACAAACTTTTACATTTATTATTGTATTAGGATGAGGTACTAAGTTTTAGGTATTAAAATCGGTTCCTTTATTAGTGTGTAATGTATTAACTAGCTATACGTGTGTCTATGTATAGAGTAAACTATATTAATAGTCCCTGTTTTATATCACTTACTTGAGAGATGACACTCTTCTACCCACGCTTCTATGAATAATACACAGGTATGCGCGGGACTTCATCCGTGTAGAATAAAATTAAGTGTTTGGACAGAATTTTGGTATTTTTTGTTAGTTGTAGTGAGAGAAATGAATGTGCTGGCTCAACCGGAATGATAACATGCCTCAGAATTCCGGGATAAAAACATATCGGAGGCCTAACACCATGATTTGCCGTGTTTTCAATCCTCAACTCGGAATATTAATAACTCCCAAAAATTCGAAAACCGAGCATGGCTTTCCTTGCTCTGGGCGGGTAAAAACTACTCAGTTCCTTCTCCTGCTGAAGGCTGGAGCCGAGGAACCTTATTGCGCTTGATCTGCAACGACGGATACCTGTACCCTACACTACGAAGATTGACTGGGAGATGATGCCTATGGCATTAAGTCCGCCTTATATAGACTTTTGCATATCATGTGTGTGTTAAAATATAAATAAATATATTTTAAAGTCACTTTTCGATGCTACTACGTTTGTTCAGTTCCATAAAACGATGCGAAACTCCGTCCATAACAATGCAAAGTCAACAACGCTTAAGTAACTTGTCAAACATTTTGCAGGCATATTCTATCATCGAGCTCTGTGATCCAGTTTACAAGTTAACTAATTTAAAATGAAAATGTTTCCAGGGTCTGGCGTGTGGTACCCTGGTGTACGTAGTGTTCTTCGAGGTATGGAAGGGCTGCAACGGTCTAATGCAGTTTTCTTGCGCTCTCTTCGGATTCGCTGTCATGGTCGGTCTGGAGCTCATAGTCGAACTTGGTAAGTGTTGAAAAAGAAAAAAAAAACAACAATATTTTTTACTAGTAATACCTACTTACTGCATATCCGCCATTATATAATTAAGTGTGTGCAAGAAGTTTTTAAATAACGTAGTCTCCGATGCAACGAATAAAACAAGATTGGTTTTTCCGAGTAGGTAGATATAGGTAATTGGTAGTACCTAGATATGTACACTGATATTAGTACAATTAAAAAGATTTTGCTAAATCATCTTGCGATGTAGCTATGTTTGCATATTGACGTCATATTTTTTTAAGTAAATAAATACAAACAGATATCCTTATAAGATTAAATTTGATTAGATCGTGTTTTGATGCAAGGTTTCTTTGTTATTTGTGGTATAAGCTTTGTTTTTTCGAGATGGATGTCCAAACTAATATTATAAATGCGAAAGTAACTCTGTTTGTCTGTCTTTTCTTCACGCCTAAACTACATAACCGATTTCTGTCAAATTTCGTACAAACATACCTATAGTCAGACTTTTAATTCGATTCCTGATTTGACATTGACCACTGTCATTTTGTGAAATAATGATACCACATATAACAGTGTAGTGATGAACACAAAAATCGAAAAACAATCAGTGAATCAGTTTCAGGAAGGCATTCAAAAAATTACGGCTACCGAATGGTCTAAATGTGTATCCCATGTTTTCAAAGAAGAGGCAAAAATGAGTAAGCTAGATATGTTAATTGACAATAAATATCAAAGACACAATTCATAATAAATGTTACATAGAGTAACGGCGATAGCGATAGCGATGACGGCGACAATTTATAAAATGTCTGTTTTATTTGTCACGTTCCTTCATGATCACATTTTTTATTAATTTCACACACAATTACAAAAGAAAAGTCTCAGATCGTTAATTAATTGTCAAAACTAAATTATCGGTTCAGAAATATTTTATTTCCTGATAAACTTAGTTTACGAGAGTAAATTTATAAACGATCGGAATCGATTCAGAAATATTCGATTTCCATATCGAATAATTTCGCAACGTCACTATTTATTACGTGTCATAACGTTGCAACACTGAAATTGTTAAATCTGGAATGGAATTAAAATTCCGAGTATAGTTGGGAATTCGAGAAAGGACATAAAATAGTTTTTGTACCAAAAATCTGCAGGAAGTCACTATTCCAAGCGTACGTAGTCGCGTTCCTAATTTTTTATATAATATATATTTATATAAAAAATTAGGAACGGCTTCCTTGGGTGAGACGTTGAAGTGGGGTCATATATATTTTTTAAAGCGAAATTCTCACAGATTCTGGGATCATACCTAGTATATGAAACTATCACAAATAAAGATTGCCAGAAAAGCATGTGTAGTCTGAAGGGTGCATGGTTGACGCAGTGAATAAGCATCTGTCACACAACTTCGATTCCCGCAGGAAACTGCACTTTGTGTGATCCACGAATTTTAGTTGTTTCGAGTATGGATGGCTTGTATATGTAATTGTATGTTATAAACGCACCCACATCACAGGAGAATATCTAAATGTTTTTCTTAAGAAAGAAAAAGAAGTCTTGTTGTCATCTAATGTGGCCAATACAGTAGTACTTACTGGGATGTTTATAAATGTGCAATATTTTTCGGCGTAATCATTGTAGCTTCAACACATTTAGTGGCGTCAAACGGATATTTTCCTATGCAAACTTTGACCGTTTGGACTGTACACACTAAGTACATAGAGATTATGTACCTAAATATCTATTATTAGGTATTATGCCATAATTCGGAATAGTTTTTATTGTTACTTTAAGTCAACATCATTAGCACCTTCTGGGGTATTCCGACAACAGTAAAAACTTGTTTACACATTTTTGTATAGGTAATCTCGATTTGACAAGACTGTCCTAACCAAAGAGTTGAGGTTTTGGGTTTATTTTATAATTGGGCAATGCATTACTAAACATCCAGTAAAATGGGCCACTAAATCTGAAGTACTTGAACCAATTATTTTAAATGGGATGAATAGATATTGAGAAATTGTTCTAGAATCTACTTCTGTTTCCAAACACTGTTTTACCGAACCTAAACGTTCGTTAGAGAGCTATAGGCAAAGCTCTATGTACCCCGATTTCATCTCAATAAAATAAGTTAATATTTCGATTTCAATATTCAGAACAGTCTTCTACAAAAACACATATTCAGTATGAAACCTGTGAGACGTTTTTGGCTTTATTATTGCAGTGTACACCCTTCAGAACTTTTGGAACACGTTTATGACTGTTATTTTCTTTTCTTTCCAGTGATGTGAAAACACCACAACTGACGACTGGAACGACGTGGAATCATTGAAATTGAAGTTATATTTATATTTATACATTTTCTACTTCGAATAGTCACGTTTGACAAGTAAATACAGTCAACCGATAAAAATTAATGTGACAAAATGTCCGTCTAAGCAGTATTGGCTCGTTGCTTAGAAAATCCTGGTGTAAAATGGGTTGGACGTGACTATCCGAGGCTATGAAAGGTACCTAGTCAATGTAAGTGCTACTCAGTCTGTCAGTCGACTGAGTAATTCTAACGATACGGTCCAGTTAGTTCCTTGTTTATAATATTGTAAGTATGTAAATAAACGTTTTTTAAATAAAAATTATTAAAAATATACTCTTTTATTTAATTTTTGGGAAAAATAAATAATACAACCATTTGTAATTTAACAAATCAATAATGTAATTAGAAATTAACAGTTTATACTATCTTTTTATCTATTCTTAAAGAAAATAGATATAATTATTTTTATCCTAAATAGTTAATATTTTTAGGCTGATTAAAATCATTATACAGATTATGCAGGCGGTAAATTTACACATCTATTGGTTAAATTGAATAGCTGTTACAAAACAATCTACGAGGCTGCGCACGCGCCGGCGCGGTGTGTTGTCGACACACTGACACAGTGGCGCTAGTGGTCGACGACACAGCGCGACAGTAGAAGGTTCACAGCTCAAAAGTTAGGAGATAACACTGTTAAAATATTTCATTATTAAAATATGATGTACTTAGACAAATGTCCGCGTACCGTAGGTACACGTATCCTTAGAAACTAATACGATTGAGAGAAAAAGACATAGAGAAATTTTCGAAAACTCTTAACACTAACTGGTACACGAGTATAATAATTTGTCAAGCCGCTGCCTTTAACATCCTACACATTACTCCTAAGGCCGGTACATTTTATTCGTCATACTTACAACAATACACTTTAAGTAATAATAAAGTTTTAAATATTCAACTAACGATCTCATATACTATTGCATTATATTCTGTAATCACATTACAACGCTATCAAGTATTACGTTAATATATCTACCAGTTACTGAAGCCCGGTATCGGAACATCACAACAGATCAAGTTCAACACGAGAGTCACTGAGTACGCTAAGACCGATTTCCACGACAATTCGTAAATAATTAAAGAAAAAATTTAACTAAACAAATACTTCTTACATTATTGCCTTTGTAGGTAATCTCTAAGCAATGGCAGACAAGTACTTATTAACATTTTATTGCACAATTATCGTGAAAGAAGGTCTTAACGAGCTTACAATAACTGGAAAGTCGTTTGACACGCTCAAGGTCATTTGTCTTTTTCTTCTCATAACTCAACTTTCTTTACCCGACTTAGCGAGCGACGCCGTGTAAAAGCGCATACTTCATAAATTCTACGCAATCACTAAAGACCAAAGCTTCAACTGTAAAAATCTGTAACTTAATTAATACTAAATGCATCATATGAAATTAAAAAAACGAACTAAATTAAACTACGAATTCAGGCACCATTATCTTAATCTAATAAATCAATAGAAACGGTACATTCGAATGTTCAATACAAACGTCATGAACGTACTACAAATAAACACTAAACTGAACTATCAGATACAAAGAATGACGAGACTAACAATCTCAACAAATATCATAATACTACATAATATTTAATTTTTATAATCTCACTAATGTTTTAAAGACTTGTTGATAGGTACTGTTTGCTCTTAAAAGAAGTAAAGAATTCTGTAACACACGTGTAGAAACGTCACGACGCCATTAAATGGCGGGAAAATATGTTTGAGCTTCGATGTCTAACTACGTCCGTCGCCATCTTGTAATCTTTGCACGCCTTATATATTAATGACCAGTGCAAATGAGGTATCTAAATATTATTTTCTTTCATAAAGACTTTGTGCTATAAAAAGTGCGATTTTATGTAACAAATGGCAATTTAGCCTTTCAAAGTCATCTGAAAATAGTTATGTAGGTAGTGCATACTTTTTAAAATTCATTGTAAAAATAATAGCTTTCATTTCTATTTTTTTAATATCTACAGGCGAGGTGTAGGCATTGCGTTCAGGCTCTGTATTGTAATTTATGAGAACAGCAAACATAGTGACGTTGTGTAACTATTTAAATGATAGTGTTAACGTGTGTGTCGGTGTGTGTGACGTAGGTACATGAACAAAATTTTGGCACATTGCTCAAATCATAAATAATTCTTGTTTGCAAATGATTAATTTTATGAGATTGTATTTATATAAAAGAGTAAGTAGATCATAGCACGACATTATTTGTTAGGAATAAAGTATTTATTAGATATTTCTTAATTGAAGCATTAATTTGAACATTAATATCGAATTATTATTAATTATTGTTTTTTTACGATTTGTAAATACAATCTCAGGTTAATGTAGACTTCATTGCAATTGCAACTTAACTTAAAAATAAGGCAAGAATAAATAAATTAGTAAATTGCAATCTCAAAGTTGAAATGAACAAAGTCAGGTAAGTACAGTTACTAATACAATTTATTGAGTGGGACAGGACAATATTTAGTAGAATAACTAGACAGTTTGACTAGGAACACGTCAGTCAATTTGTCCACGAGCCTCATACAATAACGACATAAATTAAATTATTGCATTTTTTATATACTATACGCGAATAATATAACTGTACTTACCACAATATAACGCTTAAGGACAATTAAAATGACGCTTATCAACCAAATATTAATTTCACATTTCTTCGTTAACCAAACTTATTTTTGTTGGGTTCTTAACATTATTTGGAATGTTTTGTTTATTGTTTTAATTTAAATAATAAAGTGTATTTTGATAAGCGTCATTTTAGTGGGTTTATTCAAGTGCGTTGTGCTTAAGACTTGAGGAGCTTGTTCGCGCGTTGATTGGCCACCGCTATGCGCGTCTCGTTGCTCTCACCCTATAAAAAAACCTCATTGTAATTTCCTATATACTAAACACAATTGTCACAGATATATATACCTTATTTCCTTTTAAATAAGAAAGTTATTCCTTTGGAAATAAGGTAGAAGATTAGCTTTAAGGGAAAAACAAGTTTGGTTAAACAGTAGGTACAAAATTAATTAATAAAAATAGCCATAAAACAATACGAAATAACGAAACAAACCAAAAATTTAATTTCACGAATAGACATCATAGCAAAAACAAAAATTTGAAGAATTTGTTAAAAACAAAAGAAGACTTTTCTAGATACTGACAAAGAGCAAAAAGATTGAACGAAAAAAGAAGAAGGTTAAAACCGGAGGAAATTAAAAAGAAAAACAAAACAAGAAACAACAATAATTTAGGTTATTTTACAATATTGTTATAATGTTATAGACATTTGCGACTTGGCAAACTGTCGAGCACAAAGCTGTGTTCGCAAGTAACAGCAAAAAAACTGTATATTTCTTTATATTTATATTAAAATATCAATAGAAATAATTCCAAACCAAATTTGTATAATATGCTGCTACATACGACACATTCTTAATTCTCTAAGCCTCCTTATCTTTCAGCGATTTTTTGGCTTCAAGCGGCAACGCCATAGCGTCTTATTGTAAGTGACATAAAAGCCAATTTTGTGCTGTTCCAATCGCTTTAAGTGCAAGCTGTGCTCCGCTTTATAAAAGTGCTTTTTTATTAAAAAAATATACTCACGATCATCAGCGACGTGTGTGTTTAGTTTGTTTGTGTGTGTGCAGTCTCGTGGAAGAATGCATTTTTAAGTCATCAATTTAGATATTGGTTTAATAACCATTTTTTCTAGTAAGACCGATTTGGTCTTCGTTCTAAGTTAGTTTAAATTAATGTAATACTAGCAATTTACCTTATAATATTACCTACATTTTTATATTATATTCATTACTTAAAGTATACTGCAACGACCATACCATAACTTCATTCCGTTTACCTTCATTTATTTGTATTTCAAATATATATTAATATCTGATTTTCTTATTCGCAGTTACTATCTTTCAATAAACCGGACACCACGGTATAAACTAACAAAATAAATTGTTAAAAAAATCGAAGAAAAAAGGGAAAATAAATAACTTAAATCACTTTTGTAAATGAAATGATTTATTTCTTCATAAAATAAATAAAAATTACTAGTTTCAATAATAAATTATTATACGATTTATCGCTAATTTTAAGATAGCTACATTTTTATACTAAGTTACATAATATAAGTAGGTAGCATCTTCATAAATTTCATAGAAGCAGATATGTATATTGTAAAGATATGTCGAAGCAATGTTATTTTATCATGATTATTATAGGGTTTATTATAAGACACGTGTAGGCAATAATTTTCCTAAATATTTGAGCCATAGGTAAGGATATTTTTTCTATATTAAAATCGCAATACCATAAATGCTCCTATGAAACGTATTTGAAATAAACGATGAGATCTTATGCGTTCAGATGACGAGTTATATAGAAGACTGTCTAATGGCTAATCACTTAAATTCAAACTATTATCACAATATCGACCCACTCTTCCCATTCATAATAACCACTTATTCATCCCTCTTACAATACCTTATAACGAACAGTAGTCCCAACTGTTCTCAATGCATTTTATATTATAGCCAAGGTTAAATCAAAAAACGTGTTTACGAAGAAGGAAATACCGTGCGGAAAACTTAGATCTTCGGTGAGATTTGATCCCTTGAAAAAGAAGTAAATCACTTTTGATTTTATTAACTTTCATATAATCATGTTGTTTTAATTTATGTTTTTTTTTTAATATAAATTTCATATTATTAAATCTGCATCAAGCAACGATAGGTATAACTTTACTAGCATCAACGGTAACACTACATATTAACATGGAGTAAATGCATTTTCTCAAAATAAATCTCACGCTTCCAACTCGTAACTGTTATATCGTGTATTAGTTTTATAATTATTTAAATATACTAGACAATGGCGTAAATACGATTAAGTATAATTTATATAACTTCAACATGTTCTACTGCATGAAATGAGCACCAAAAACTATTCATAAAATTATGTAGTTTTACGTGAGGTAGCTAGCACAAACACTTTTTGTTTTAACAACCGAATCAACTGATGGAAACTCGAATTCCATGTTGTTTTTTCTGCGTAGAGTGCGCCACTGTCGTTTATGGCACCGATTGGACGCAACTAACTTTGCATTCTGCATTCATATTTCATTAAATCTCATATAAAAAGGGTGACAAAACCCTACTGAAGAATTATCGACCCATTTCCCTTCTAAGCCACGTCTATAAGCTGTTCTCGAGAGTGATCACGAACCGCCTTGCGCGAAGACTTGACGAATTCCAACCACCGGAGCAGGCTGGGTTTCGGAGCGGATACGGCACCATAGACCACATCCACACAGTGCGGCAGATTATACAGAAGACTGAGGAGTATAATCAGCCCCTGTGCCTAGCATTTGTGGACTATGAGAAAGCCTTTGACTCGGTCGAAATATGGGCTGTTCTGGAGTCCCTGCAGCGATGCCAAGTAGATTGGCGATACATCCAAGTGAAAACGATACCTCCAACAAAACTACATGGTGTACTTATATTTTCAACATTTCAACAATATTTAATTCAAAGTTGAGCGTTAAGAAAAAGCTGTAAGTTACAGTAGAGTGATAAAGGAACGAGTGATCACTTAATACAGTAGCATGCAAGGATTACATGTTTAATATTATGTTTTTAATACAATTGGATAAATGTATCTCAAGATAGAAGAGAGACACTAAGCAAAAATATTTCATTTCTAAATTTAATTGTACACCGGTCACAGATACATGAGGAATACGCCAATATAAATATTAAAAAAAATACTGTTCAACCTAAGACTGAGCGATAATGTTACAAAAACGCTATGTTCTTGACAGTCTGTTTCTAGCAGGTATATAATTTTCTAAAGGTAAACCGCAAATAAACAGGACATCCAGAAGACCTCTTGTTTTGAAATAAGACGAGAGTATGGAGTAATGGTAGTATATAGTATCTGCAACCGGTGTGAGGGGGCGTGGCGCCCGCATGTAACCACGAGACCGAGTGGTGTGTATGTGTGTGTGTGGTGGTGTGCGGCGCCGTCCTTTACTTGAGGAGCTCGTGCGCGCGCTGGTTCGCCAGAGTTATCCTCGTTTCGTTCGATTCGCCCTATGATTAGAACACGCGATTTGTTTTTGCTAGTTGTTCAATTCACAGCGACTTTATTTTCTGATATTTTTATCATTATGTCATTTGGCCCAGTTATACAGACGCGTAAAGAAGAAGGAGCAAACATGATGTTACTGAGATAAAATTTAAAAGTTGTTTAATAATTGACTCATTTTTCTTTACATCGCTGTATGATATGAATATTGAAACTGTAAGAGTAACAATCAAGTGTGTTGGACGGCCATCAGTCGCTGTCTTTTGAAACAAAAACAATGTTCCGTTAGCATTGATGTGAATGACAGTGTTAGTTATGGAGTCTAATTCTGGATATATCATGTTAGTCTGGATGGATGTGACAACTAGTAACATTTACACAATGGTCGTGTGGGATGTGTATCGAGTATTTCGTTGCATGTCTTTACTGTCAGTTGGAAGACACAAAGAAAAATTTTCACAACAACCAATTACTAATCACATATTCTACCAAGTATGAAAGGACATGCGTCGGGTGACAGAAGGAAGTGAATCGATTGCCAGGAAAGCGAGTGACCGGATCATTAGGATGCCAATAAGCTAGAAGATAGTTGATAAACACAGAAGACAACTAGTGGCACGTCCACGGCTAACGTGACAGGCACAAACATTTAGATGGTGAAAATGTAGATGAACAATATCGGGACATTATGAAACATGTCCAAACAAGTTACACAACGTCCCGCTAGTGTAAAATTTCACTCAAAACGCTATATAGCTTCAACTAAGTATTTACATGTGAGTTAAAATTTTACACTGTGAGTCAATAAACGACAACATCGAAAATTCTTATTAGAAAAAAGTACTGATAATAAACAAATAGTCATTATCAGTGTTGAAGAGTAGACTGTAGATAAATCTATTAGAAGAGAATTAGTTTGAAGTGCACGCGAAACAGTCTTTTTTATATGATCTACATGAGAGAAAGAGATAGAAAGTATGAAAGAGATAGAAAATATTTGTTTCTTTGGTGGTGAAGTATTTTTCGTCTCTGATTCTTAACTTACATTATGTGTAAAAAAAAGAAGGTTAATTAAACTTCGTGTAGGTATGTGATCATTATTCCACGAATATATTCGGATTTTTATCCCAAAAGTAGTTACGTTGTGAGCAATGTTATAGCTGTGTCGACCATATGTGAGAAACCTACTTTCTTTTGTAATATTGCTTTTCTTTAACCCTTTCGTTCTTCCAGTCTTGATAAAGCGATCGGGTATGATAAAGGATCTTCTCAATACCATAAAATAAAGAAGAAATTGATTTGTTTCTTAGGTCAAAAACAAATAACTTGCCTTTTCAATACAATGAATTATTAAAATATAGTCATACTTTCATTCATTGCACTGACGTTATAATGAATTAATTAGGTATAGATTTCTTGTTTGTTGAATTTGTCAGTATAAAGTTATCTATTCAAGGTCAAACTTTTGCCATTTCTATTGAATTTGACCAGTATGGAAACAACAGTATAGACCAAAGATTATTTTGCTTCGAATTTCTGGAAGTATATACGAAGTTCAAAATAAAGTCTTGGATGAGGGAGTCTACCCAACAAATCCTACAGTTCGCCTAGCCAGACGGTTTCGCGTGCACATGTACTTCATCTGCCAGCCACGGCAGGTTACCTTGCGGTTGATGCGGTCGATCTGGCGGTTCTGGTTCTCCAGCTCGGAGCCCATGTCCAGAGCCATGTTGCGGAGGTTACCGATCATCGTGTTCACCTGACCCATGTTCTCTTCCATCTCATCTTCGCGAGCGTCGTTTGTTATCCTAAACAAATTATTATTATTATTTGTTTGTTCTATCCTTTCACGGCACCACAGGGTCCCGGACCTTTGGAAGGCGTACGAGGAGCCGAAGCCAACTCGCAGAGGCCCGTTGAACAGTTTTAATCTAAATTTGATGGGACATCCATCACCTATGCCCGGTTTTTCGGTTCGGTAAACGAATAGAAGTAGGTATTCATCATCATCATCAGCCTATAAGTGCCTACTGCTGAGCAAAGGTCTCTTCTCACACGGAGAAGGTTAGAGCATTAATCACCACGCTTGCTCAATGCGGGTTGGCGGTTTCAAACTTATAATTAGAAATTATAAGTCCAGGTTTCCTCACGTGGTTTACCTTCACCGTATGTCAGTGGTGTCTGAATAATCATAGAAAGTACTTATAACTCGAAAAAAGTCACATTGGTACTTGCCAGGTTTTGAACCCGGGCTACCACGACATTTCAAACTAATTATTATTTCATGCTCGGTTTGTTGGCAAACAAACGTGGTAAGCAATCGTTGCTGCCAATTCCTGAGGTGTGTGTGCAACCGTTGCCGTCAAACCCAAATGAGTTTCAAATGTGTTGCTGGCTTTTTGGTGGGTTAGGGATTTGATGATTGGGAGAATTGGAGATGGGTGTAGTAGTTAAGGTTGAGGCATTTGGTAACCTCACTTATATTGAGAAACCACAAAAAAATTACGAACGAACAATTTTTTGTAAACTCTCACTCTTTGAAGGATCGTTTTAAAGAATACTTACTTAAATTATTTAGGTATACGTAAGTCACAAAATCTATTTTGGTGACGTTGAATTTTGGGATAAACAAAAATATGAGCTAATAAAATCTAAAATTTTAAGAAAGGTCACTATTCTACAGGGACTAAATCTTGGGAGCAGCCATGAGTAATTATAGACAAGCTTGCAAAGCAAACAAAGATGTTTAAAGGACTAGAGTTTTGTTTGCCGGCAATTTGGTTACAATAATTTTAATTTTATTTTATTACAGATTACAGTAATGGTTTATTGTTAAAATCTCACCTTCCTATGTATCCGGCTTGTGGTCCTATCCCGTTGCGCTCGTCCATCACCCTCTGGGGCTGGTTGTTGACCACCTTGCCATCGTCGTTCCCTTTCCACGTACCATCGTCCTCCTTGAATGACGCACCCCTGGAACACCATACAATAATATTACATTACGGTCTAACAGTTCCACATTTCAACCTGGAACAACAAACCCAGGACATGCAAAAACACCACCACTCAGGGAGCAGTTCAAACGACAATGAATATTATATCGACGCAGAATTAGAACACTTTGTCGGAAACTTGCTTTGTGAGTAACGTGATGTGATTAGTGCTTGAAGCTGAATGATATCAAAATGTAGGAGGTTATGTATTATGGATTGCAAAGGAAAATAATCAGTATGGTTAGCGGTTCCGCGGAACCGGCGTGCGAGCGCGGAAGCTAGTCGTGTAAGTGTGTGGTACGCACTTGTTGCACGGTAGAACACAGATCCCGCAACATTTCTCCATGCCCGAGAGGTTCTTCTCTGCCTCGCGCATGTCCGCGTTGATCTGATCCATTCCCTCCTCGATTCTGTCCAATTGCTCTGTTCACACACATCAACACACGCTTTAGATCCGACCTTGTCAGTTAACCTGCTTTATGTGTTCAAGCTCCTAGCTCTTTCTTTTAATTTAATTTCGCGATTTTAATATTATTTTGAACAATTTCATGTATTAAATCGATTGTAAATTCTCAACGCTCTCGACAATAACCAGCGCTAAGTGTAAGACATGTATTCTGTAAGGGCAACGAGTTATATCCAACTAGTTATGTCCATGCAAGCTGACAGTCTAGAGCAATTCTATGTCATGACAATTCAACACTAATATTTAAGCAACTAATTCATATTTAACTGAACATCTTTTGAGGTGCTTGTGTCGTATGTCTTACACTCGATCTGGTTAAAACTAATTCAAGAAAAATCATTTACCTTTGAATAAAATGATGTACGTGCTGATACTAAGTGATTACATTACCGTACTCGTAGTGACTAACAATTAGATAATATCAACTAATATCACTTATAAAAATCTAATCATGCAATAAACAGCAATATTGAAGAAGACGTGCATAGCTGGATGCGTGACAAAGAACTAAATAATAAAATAATTAATAGGGTTTAACTGAATCAGATAATCTCATGGTTCCCTGCGCTGAGTGAGAGTCACTGCGCTGGCAGCGGGAGCTCAGAGATCGTTTGATGCACTTTATTCTCTAGGTTTAGTTATGGTCATGACAAACAAGTTTTACCTTCACTTTTTATCCATTATAAATAAACTGTTAGCAGATATTGAATCGGTAACATAATTTATTGTCATCAAGTCATTGCCATTCAACGAACTTTCATAAATTATCTGAACTGGCATTTCAGACAAAAGCTTTACTAAATTATGAGTGATGCAAAATAGTATGTTCTACTGGATGCTTACCGCCCTGTTCATCCAGCATGACCAGGGTTTTCATGCCCACCTCGTGACTCTACAACACAATAATGATGTCACTATAGCTCGCCAAACGAATGCGGTGAGGAGTCGGGAGCGGCGCGCGCGCAGGCAGCCCCGGCCGCGCGGGCGTCGCTAACTCATACCAACACAAACAAACTGATAACTAAACAGAAACAAAACATGGACATGGAGCGACGGGCGCTCGGCCCGCCGCCGGGTGATCATGGGACAAAATAAATCAACTTAGCAAATGAGCGTATCCAGTAAGTAAGCCATTCCTAAATGAAACGTGAAATAGCAAAGTATTATTTATTGAAGAAGAAAAATGAACAAACTAATATGTAGTGCGGCGAGGGGCCTCGCGGCCTCGCCGACAGACACAGACGCATCGAGCTAACAGTTACAGACCTACAGCTAACATGAACAGTACGCTGCCAGCCATGGAGGTGAAGGCGGATACCAGTTACTCTATACGTCGAACAGACATCGGTCAACGCGCATTCATTTCAGTACCGCAGTTACGGAAGAGAACAGTAGATTCGGAAAGATAAATAAATATACCTATAAAAAGCGATCGAATTCAACGGAAGAACTAAACAGATTGCGCAGCTCATTCAAATTAAATCTTCAGCAAAAGATAGAGTAACAGTCTTTTGCGACAATTAGCAACGAACGGCCATCGGGCTTCTATTTACACTATATGTCAAGGTCATCCCCATCGAAACATAGATACACACGCAACATCGATCTCAGATAAGTCGTTAGTTAAGAGAAACGTCAAAGAAAAACAAAGAGATTAATTTTATTAACTGCACATTCAAACACAGACGTTCTCACGTTTCGACTACCCATGTGTCAGTTTAACTCTTACCGCCCTGGTGACTCAACATATGAAGCGCTTGCCCCCCGGCGTCCTCGCTCTATACATAAAATACAAATCAAAATAATATATCGTAGGAGAGAGTATCGGGGTGTGTGGGTGGGTGGTGCGGTGCGCCGGTCGGTCGCACGGGCGCGGCGTGAGGCGCGAGCAGCTGCGGCGGCGTGACGCGGCCTACGGGCGTGGCGGGCGTGGCGGGCGTGCCGGGCGACGCGTGCGGCGTGCTAACACACACTACTCGATCACAACCACATGCATGCAGTGAAGCTTGCAAGTAAAACCAGATTCAGTTTCATCTGTGCTCAGTTTCATATGATTCATGATTTATTGTGTGATGTCAAGAGTCGTGCGTTGAGGAGAAGCGTTTCGAATTTACTTTGCTCGTTCATTTAGATTCGTTTTATGTGAAATCAGTAAAGTTGTTTCAATTAGAGTCGAGTACGAACAATATCTGGAATGCAGAATGTATAAGGTATCGGTACGCCCGAATATATACGGTTGTATGTCGGTCGGCCTGCCGGACGTCGTACAAGATAGAGCTCGTTGTAAGTTGTGCAAAGTGGTGTATATTATCTACATACGAATAAATATACAAAGATGTGGGTTTTCCGTGGTCATCTCCGTGTGTGAGTCTTACAATGTAAACGGTCATTTCTCAGAGGATGCCCGCACCTTTGCATTGTAATAGCAGTGACGTAATTTAAATACATAATCAATGCGATACCCCCTTAACTCTTCTACATCGGTGAGCCCATCTTCGGGTCGGCTGAAAACCCTACGATGCTCAACAAAGTTAGCGAAAAAGGATAAAATATATAAAATTGTAAATAATGTAGTGTTGCAAATTTTGCAGATCACTCACCTCCCTGGTCATCTAGAGCGACCAGAGTACGAATGCCGGCCTCCTTGCTCTACGCCGCAGAAACAAAAAGTCACAGAGCATGTTAGTTGTGAGGGGTACAGTAGGGTGAGTGGACAGTGGGTTCGAGCCCGGCGGGCGCGCACGCGGCGGCGCGAGCGTGGCGCGTCACGAGTACAGTCAGATGTTGCACTTGTATGTCACGCGGGATGACGCCACCCAGCGTCGTGCCACCTGGCCATACAATGGGCGTCTACCACTAAGGCAAGGGGTTGAAGCAACACGTGAACCTTGGCTCGGTGGCGACCCGCTGGATGACGTCCTCCCTGGTGTTTGAACTGTGTTGTTGAGAGTAATGCTGAGTCTGTACAGTGTCGTATATCATGTTATATTCGGCGCATACATTTCAGCATATAAACTTAATGTTATAAAACAATAATCGCAACATATTACGTAAATAATAAGGTATCCTCTATAAAGATTCTGAACTAAAATATAGTAAATGAAAAGTAAGAAATAATATGAATACAGTAATGTGGGTAATACTGGTAATATCGGTTAGGTCCATGTAGGTATATTGTGTGAGAGTCAGCATTAGGTGTAGCTCGATATATTTGTTGGAGTTCAGTGGTAGGTACGGGGTGTGTTCACGCCCACATATTGACAGTAATGTGAATGTTCGAGAAGGCATGAAAATCATACAACATAATAGATGTACAGTCAACAACAGAGAGCAGCCACTACAACAGAGACCTAAGATACAGATCAACTAAAACAGGATAGAACGAACATCAACATACACTGATCACGATGTACGCAATGCCAAAGATTAGTTCGCTAGATCAGTTAGTGTTGGAACGTTACGTACGGAAACAGAAACACAGAGAACAACCATGTCATCTATGAAGAGTCAAGTATCGTTACCAAACAGGAAATAAATAGAATAGAAAGTGCGTTGAAATAGTGAGTCAGCCTCGGACGCGGATACCTGCACTGAGGATCCGAGAGGTAGACAGGGTCTCATTAGAAAGCAAGCCCAAGCAACAATGGTTTCACTAGGTTTTTTTTCAGACTCAAAAGCGCACGTATTTGTTCAATTAACGTACTAAAAGGGGTACTAACGTTAGAGAAGTATTCAAACTAAACATGGGACTTGGATTCTATTGTGGACAATGACGGGCTTCATGCTTTGAAACCTAAAACAGCAATCGGGCGAAATTACAGGAGCTGACGGTTAAACACTCGCTTTGAGATTATAATTAGCGTCTTTGACATAAAGTTGAGGAGTAGCGTAGTATAAATATGAGTATAGTTAATTAACTGTCAGCGCCGAGGGCAGTTCGCCCGGGAAGGTAAATATAATCACATAAATGTACAGTTCACTACGAACAACACAAAGGGCTATAGAAGTCTAACATATTCGGACACAGTAGGCACGGATCATGCAACACCCATATATGTATGGTTATAATAACATATAATACTGATTACATATTATACTCAAATGTAGGGTTCAACATAAAATAAAACAAGGATTATGGCCGGATAACTACATAGATATACATACACACATTTAGAAAAAAAGATAAAGAAAATAATATTTAGCGACATCGAAACACAACAGCCAGGGTTAGCAGAGGCTGCGCCCTAGGGGGTGGGACGGGCGTCAGAGACCAAACCGAGCTTGGGGCTATCCAGACACTTCCGCTATACCCCTCACTCCCTCGCATCGAGAACACCTCTCTCACAGATGATCACAAATAATTCACATAATCGACAACAGAACTCAACATAATTAAACTATGAGGGGAAACTAATTTAATTGTAACTCAAACGCGTCTACGGATATACAAGACCGCACAGTTCTATTGGATCAATTATTTAGCAATAGATAGCTTCCAGTATAGTCGCACGCTTGGAACATTAATACGTCGTTCAATATTAATTACACAATCATGTTCAGGGCACATTAGGGGAACTTTATATTTATGAACTTGGTATAAAAACAATGTTCTTCCAACTTATTTTTGAATGAAGGTCTTCTAGAAGTAAATCGCGGCTGTTTTCAGTCAGGCAAGATTTCTTTTACAAGTTCCCTTGATAAACATGTGAGCTAATTGCACCTATATACATATAGTGCTTTTTAGTTCAAGTTAAACAGTACTCTGATCGAATCCAGGAATCGAATAAGCAAAACCAGCGCAAATCATCGTGTGTATACCAAATTCATAAGTTTTAATTTTAAATCTTAGTATCAAAGGGGAAAGAATGGTAAAGAATATTCATATTAATTTGGGAGGTATTCTCGAAATAAGACATAGGTAACTCCCAATAGTCATTAGATCTAGATTAGGTATAAGTTTTATGCTTTAGATAAAGTAACAGAGCGATATATGGGGGCGTTAGTTAAATTCATTATTTAATTAATTTGATGGTGATGTTTCCCCTTAATTAAATAATTAAATCTATCTTATATTATGAGAAAAAAGGCGTGTTTCGAACTCACCTCCTCACATAGTTGCATCATTCGCCGTGTCGACTCCAGCGACTGAAATGTTGTAACAAATTCAATTATTTAACGAGTCACAACAGAAAACTTTATAAACCTCTTTATTTTCTTCCATTTGTAAAAGTTCGAACAAAGAAAACTTGTTACGAACTACTAAACTTTCAAAGTTGAATGGAGAATAGTTTATGGAATTATTTTTTTTCATTCAGTTAGTGCGGTTGTTACTGAGCCGTCCATTTGTATAAGTCTCTTTTAAATCGAATTTGTAGTTTGTCTAGATGAACTGCCCTTTTAACCAATTGTTTTCAGTCGTGTCAGAATGTTTTAAATAAACGTATCGTATAATAGGGGCTAATTTTTCAATGATTAGATAAAAGTCATCTGGGAAATAATTATGATTCTGTCGCGTCAGAATGCTTAAATAAGACAGTGACAGCAACAATTTTATTCCTCAGATAAAAATCAAATACCTAATTATCTACATTGTCCAGTTTAAGTAGACTATTTTCTTCTTTGCCTTATGTTTACTTACTTTTTTTCTTAATACTGTATACGCAAGACATATCTTCATACCATTTTATGAACTATTGACGGCCCCATACCAAACAGGTTTTAATCTTCTTCGCCATCCATTAAGCATAGACAAAAGATACTGACCTCATCGGTGACTTGACCGGCGCGCAGCTGTAGCTGCTCGAGCTCGCTGCGCGGCGCGCCATTTTCGGCGGGAGGCGCTGCTGAAGGCATCCTGGAACAAGTTAACTGATTTATCAGTGGATGGAAATATTATGGAAAAATATATAAGAAAGGATCGAAAGAATGGATTTAATAAGTATTTATTCAAAAACGATGGCTTTAAAAAACCCGGATTTCATAATGACCTATCTTATGTACCTGTATATTAAGGTTATTGTAACAGCGTCAACGATAAAAATGATTTAGAAATTCTTTTATGTCTTCCATTATATCTCTAAAAAGAACATCACAAAAGAATTTTCCAAATACGAGATTATCCTTTTAAGCTGTATTTATTGTTAGATCCGATGCTCAGACACAAAGGTTCGAACGCAATTCACAAATTACATTGGAGTACATGCCAAAATTACTGAAGGCATTATCTACTTGAAAAATCTAAGCGTGATACAAAACTTTGTCGCCCTCCGGGGAGCTTAATTTAATTTAAAGTTGGGCATAAACAGGCCTGTACTAAAGAGCCGTAGAAACTTCTTTTACGTGACAAAATTGTGAATTATTCAGTATGCAGCGGATAAAGTTTACGAACGGAATTTATTTTCGCTAATTTCACAGCGGGGTTGGCAAGTCGCGGCCATATTTGTATTTAAGTCGTTCGGGACGGTACTACGAATAGAAGTGAGGAACGTGTGAAACTTCATCGTAATGCTTTAACTATCTGTGATTGCTTAGGTTAAGGCCACGGTAAGGCATTTAAGTGCCTTTGTGCAGTGCGTAAATTAAATCTGTCGATGATAGCAATCTATGTAGTTATTGCCTTGTGGTACAAAGTATTTACTAAGGCATATTTCGTCTGTGTTACCTACTTCCTTTTAAGATTAGTTTTTTTTGAGATGGGGATAGTCATCAAATAATTTTAACGATCTGGATGGGGCGAGAGTGAGTGTCAAACTCTTACTGCCTAAAACCATCTTGTTTCTATACCCAGGGCCGCAGTAGATTATTACAATTACACGCATAACTTAGTTAAACATTAGCTAATGTTTGAATTTTGTCACACGTAAAGACAATCTCCTTCAATTCTTTCCTTATAACTATATTCTTTGTATAGAACCGAGGCTAAATATTTTACAAGTACAAAACCATCCACGAAGGTTAAAAGTCAATAACCGAAGTTAAATAACATCAATAAATCAAGTATTTCCAATACAAATAATAGTATTTACCTCGGATTAGTGTACAGACAGACGCGGCAGAGTACGTAATAAAAATAATGGCGAATGTTGAGTCTGGCCTTGTGTTAACCTTACACGTAACCTTAATATGTTCGCAGTTAACATCCTGTGTTAGTTAACTTCACGTTCTAGTTTACGAACCACCCCTGGCAGTGACCTTGGTATTTAGCTTGCTTTTGTTCTAGTGGTTTCAAGAGCTGATGGTCCCAAAAATGAGTTCCTAAGTTTTCCAAAATTCCTAGGCAGGCATTATAAGGCCAGAGTGTGGAATGGTGTATAGCATTAGGAATTTCCCAAGCTTACTTTTCTGAAAGTACAGCTTTAAGAAAATTCATATCGTAATATTAAAACCTCTTTTATTGATGGGGGAAAATCTAATCACTTTCCCGCCCTGTGTGGGATGACAGGGAGCGTCAGACTTTTACTGACTAAAAACCAGTTCATACCCTCTCCTGACCCGGTATTTACATTATTGCGCTTGTACACGAAACCCTGGCTGAACATAGACCCTGTTAGGCCCTATCTAAACTTTAAACTTGGACTGAAACACTAGCTAACATCAAGAGTCCTAGACCAAACGTAGTAACGTGCAAATTACATTTCACAATTAGAATAAAGTAATAGAATATTCTAGAAAGTTAGTGCATTACAATTTACAACTTTCCTTTTATTAAAATGTCTGGGTAGTCGAGAGATGCGTGCCACTTAAATGTCAGAGCGTCGCTTCTCTGGAAGAACACACTTTAACCTTTAAACCTACACACATCTAAAGAAATTATACTTTAATAACCATATCTTTAAATGTGTGAAAGGTATAGACAAAAAATAACGAGACATCTTCTACCATTTTGTTAAAGTTACAAGTTGTGTGAAAATACTTCGAAGCCTCAAATCGGCGTTTTGGTCGGAAACACTAATAGCATTAATAATCCTCCATTCAAACTTGATGACTAATCATCAAGCAATAAAAAGGCACGATTGGTTTTTTGGCAAAAACAGAAAAAAACCCACAAAAGTATCATCTTGCGAGTTGCGAATCAATTTATTATATCAGGGAAACGACAATTTGTAAAAACAAAAGTCGCACTTGCCATTTTTATATAATGCAATTTTAGGAAATAGTGAGTTTAGTTAAGAAAAAGGTTTATATACAACTATATACTATTCCGAAATACTTTACCGACGATTTATTTTATTTGCCACTTCAGGCTTTAATTAGAGGTCATGAAGCCATTTATGTTTTAGCGTCACATAAAAACATCGGGGCGGCTCTCGTTGCCCAACCTGTATATGGTAATGTTTAATACGGAGGGGCTCCGTGGGACCCACATAATCAACCTTTTTAACAAGTTTGTGGACGAAAAATTCATTTAATTTTAAGCCCAAAGTGCTTAGGCTGCTTTCAATAATTTATGTACACGTAACATTGCCTTAATAAATAGTAGCTGTGTTGACTAAAACATCTATTACACCTCAAGTATAATAATCCCATTTTTACAATGATTTTTTTATAATAATTAAAATAACTGCATATTTTGCCGTACTTTTCCGAGGAGAAGATTACGTCACTGAATTTGTATAACGGAGGACAGATGTTCCAAAATTGTCGAGCCCTAAATTCCTTTTGAATATTTATTTAATGCGTAAATTAGCATACTTTGAACTGAAGTCACAAGGCTTTGATAAAAGTGACGAGTTTCGGATATACTGGATTTGCTTTCGATATAGAACTCAGTATTACGTTATCTACGTTATTTTTAGCTCGGGTTCAGTGCATGGCGACGCGACGGTTGGCAAATGTCGTATAAAGTATATAAACGGAGGACACCCTTGGGGTGGCACGGCCTTGACGCAGTGAACAAAGGCGGGGACAGGCAATCTCACACGTACCGCCTCGTCTAAGCCAGGATTGTTTGTGGATAGGGATTTGAGACAGTCGGGAAAAACATTCTTGTTTTTCAACCTCCTCGTAAAGTTAGCATTTATGCTACGCTAAATTTAGCCTACGTGTGCTTTTATTTAAGTTTAATTTCACCCTTTAATTCCCAACTCAAACATTGACGAGGCCGGTATAACTTTTAATGAGCTCAGAGAACAGTGAAACGGAGATATACATAGGTACTATGTGCTGAATGTTTTAGCGTTTTGGTACCTAAGCGAAAATTGCTTGTTTAAAGTATGCAACGGTCCGGAGAGTCAATGCTCTCGAAACCGCTTAGTGATGCATTCTTGATGAGTAACTCGAATAAATTGATCCCTTGTTCCACCGACCATTTGGGGTCGAGATTCAATAATTTGAAATCGATATTTCTTTAACGAAACGTTGAACAGGTTGGGACGAAAGTTTAAGAGTTAACTGTAGGTACTTAGTCATAAGTAACGACACATTCGCTGAACTTGGGCCACGTTCAAGTTTCAGTAAGTTGGCAATGTGCCAGGACCAAGCTGAACGACCCACTTCTGTCCCCGACGATTACAATTGTATGTAGGCTGGTAAGTGATAAATTGGGGACTTAATATAACTTAATATTAATACTAGATATCAGAGATATGGGCGCTGATCGATGATGGTGCTTGTCGTTTAGATAATCATTGATTAAAATGACAGCAGACCATTTAGTTCGTCCTCCTGTATGGGACTATT